CACACATAGTTCGAGCCGAACCATCCTAGACCAGTCTCTATCTACACATCAATATTAACTATCTTACAACTTGTTTGGATGGTTGTTACCTATTGTATTGTACCATGTTATTACTTTAAATAATACAATGTTTGTTTTGATTGTTACTTAAATTTTATTGTATGGTATCGTTAAATTTGTCATTGCATAACAACGAAACGTGCCATTTATGTAACGACAAATTTGTGTGGTGGCGCCGTTACTTTTTTTTTCCTCCCATCTTGCCCTTCTTTATTATTAAATAATTATATTTTATCTTTCACCCTATTCTTTTATATAATAATTCTATTCTGTATCTTATTTTTTCTAAGTAATGTTGCAATTTTATTTTTCGTATTGTTGGTGCATAACATCATGAAACGATGACAAATGATACAATTTATCTAAATATTATATTAATTAAATAATACAATACATTATGAAACGACATGTGAAAACCATCCAAACAAGCCGTTACTAAGACAAAATGATTAATTATGTGAACAAACTAAATTTGTGTACCTCCATTAAGCCAAAGAAGCAGGGGCAATGACCTGGAATTCTCAGCTTCAACAAAATAATAAAACAATGCACGACCAACAAATTCGTTGACTGTGACATATCCACCATATTGTTTGAATTTGACTGGTGGTTGACCTGACAATCTCTTGATTCGATCTTTATGTTTCAATCCCTCCTGAGGAAGAACAACTTTATCCAATTCTAAATAATCAAGGGCTGAGCTAAAATGGCTATTTTTGTCAATGGCTGAATCTTTTTTCAATAACTTAGTTAAGTAAAGTTTGCTAAGACCATGACTATGGCTCCTGTCAAGGCTTGAAGAAACAATTTGTGAAAGAGTGAGGGTTAAAAGGAGAAAGAAAGTGATTTTTTCCATGTCTTTTGATCGAATTTGGGAATGAAAATAGAATGAATTGATGGTTCTGTGTAATATCAATTGGAATTTCAAGAATAATTCATTTTGGGGTGGATCATTTGACTATAATATGAGATTTAATTACTTTAAAGGCAAGATTTCCTTATGGTTAACCATATATAAGTACAATCAAGCAAGATCTTTGCTATTCAGTATTTTTACACTACAAGTATGTTCACAAAGTGAACTTGAATTTTAAAAAAGGTTTTCTATGGAAAATACACTCCCAATAATGTGCGGTAGGATCTAGTTTCCAAGTTTATTATGAATCTTATATAGACGTTTGTTGGACTGTACTTTTCATTTGAGCCTTGTATATTTATACCAATTGTATTCCTTGAAAATTATTTTTAGGGTTGATTTTTCTCGCACAAAATATTTTCTCGGGAAATGACTTCTATCCAGTCGTACAAAATGTATCCATACTTTAAGTTGTCTAAATTCATACTAAATCACCCTTAATCTCAAATCCCCTGAAATTCCATATCGCATCTCGAATTAGTTTTGCTCTAACACCTCTTTCTTCATAGCGAAACGGGCTTACATGTGTCTTTAGTGGGATTCATTCATCCAAAAACATAAAAAGAAGAATTCTTTTAAACGGCACAAAAAAGGCCCTTTTTGGCCTAAATTTAATACGAAGTGAATCTAATAAAAGAAAACCAAATATGACGTTTGGTTTCAAAGTATGCGGTCATGAAAGATGAATATATATTTCATTTTATTCTACAAAAACTAAAAAGTAGTGTCGCAACTGTGTCGAAACTCTCCTGTTTTGCGTCATAAGATATTCTGAAAGACCAGATGTTATTGCCCTCAAACCTTTCTATGATAAGGTCATTTGTCCGATTTTTTTTTGGCCCGTCTATAATAGAGTATTGGGAATAAAACTTCCACAGAAACAATATTTATGGTTATAACAACGGAACAATAATGTAGTATTGAAATATGATAATCAACAAGAATAAAAAGATCAACAAAAATATAAAGATTTTTAACGTGGAAAACCCTTCTAAATAAGGGGAAAAATCACAAATCCGAGAGGAGCAAAGCAATTCACTATAATGAGGAATTTTACACCCAGTAGTCCCGAGTAAAATACTCCAGGGACCACTATACTCAAAAGGAATAACTCTCTTTTAAGATTCTCATCTCACTACAATATTGCCCACACTCTTTATTTTCCCTCACAGGCGGTGGCCTGTGAATACCTCACACTGCTCTCTAATTTTCAGATATATTTTCCTCTGAAATTTGTGTGATCAAATGAGAAGCTGAAGGCTTCTATTTATTGGAAGAAATGTCACAACTCTTAACCAATAGAAGTTGGTTTCCTGCAACTTGCGATTTGCGAATTGCAAATCGAGAACCAAAACTAATTTTGGCCAAAATTGGTTTTGGCATCTGTTTCCTCCTTTTTGTTTTCTTGATAGGGATGGACCACAAAATCTCCCCTACAGACTCATTCACCCGAAGGAGGTAACACTGGACTTCTAGCTTGAGTGCATGCCGACAAGCTCTTTGCACAACTCGAAGTTGTCTATTGGTACCACATTGGTCAGCATATCTGCAGGATTCTCACTTGTGGAAATCTTCAGGACTTGCAGAGATTCACTCTCCACCATTTATCAGATCCAGTGATATCTCACATCGATGTGTTTGGTCTTTACATTGTCCATGGATTTCTTGCTCAAGTCTATTGCACTTTGACTATCACAATAGACAACATACTCCTCCTGTTGCAAGCCAAACTCTTGAAGGAACCGTTTAAGCCATATCATCTCCTTGACAGCTTCAGTAGCGGCAATGTACTCCGCTTTAGTTGTAGAGAGTGCGACACACTTCTGCAACCTCGACTACCATGATATAGCTCCCCCTGAAAATATAAACAAATATCTAGTTGTGGATTTTCTGTTATTATGTCACCTGCCATATCAGCATCTGTATAGCCCTTAAAGATTGGATCAGATCCTCCAAAATACAAACAATCTCTTATGGTACCTCTCAGGTACATAAGTATCCACTTGACTGCTTCCCAATGTTCTTTTCCAAGATTTTCAAGAAACATGCTGATAACACCAACTGCGTGAGCAATATCAGGTCTAGTGCATACCATTGCATACATCAAACTTCCGACGACAGAAAAATAAGGAACTTTGGTCATGCTCTCCATTTCCTCCATTGTTGTAGGACACATCTCCTTGTTCAACTTCAGATGACTAGCAAGAGATATGCTGAGTGGCTTAGCATTCTTCATATTGAAGCATTTTAGTACACAATTCACTTCTCTTGAGACAGCCACAACGTTCTGCTTGTTTGCTCTTGAACAATCTTCATTCCCAGAATTTGTTGTGTTGGGCCCAAGTCCTTCATATCAAATGACTTGTATAAATCTCCCTTTAACTTTGCAATCAGTCCCTTGTCTTTTTCTACAATTAACATGTCATCCACATACAACAACAAAATAATAAAGTTACCGTCAGAAAATCTTTTGAAGTATACACATGGATCAGAATATGTCTATATATAAGTTTGATTTTTCATGAATGAGTTAAACTTCTTGTACCACTGCCTTGGTGCCTACTTTAACCCATAAAGACTCTTATTCAGTTTGCACACCACACCATGTGTTTCCTTTCAGCTACTTCAAATCCTTCTGGCTATATAGATCTACTCTTCCAAATCTCCGTGAAAAAATGCATTTTTCACGTCCAACTGCTCCACTTCAAGATCTAGGCTAGCTGCTAAGCTCAAGATTGTTCAAATTGAAGTCATTTTGACAACATGTGAGAAAATTTCGTCAAAATCAATACCTTTCTGCTGTTCAAAGCCTTTTACCACCAATAGAGCTTTGTATCTGACAACTTGCCATTTCCATCTTTCTTAAGTTTAAAGATTCATTGTTTTTACCCTTTGGAAGTTCAACCAGCTTGTACGTGCCATTTTTCTGCATATATTTCATCTCTTCTTGCATGGCTTTTATCCACTGGTTCTTTCTAGACGGGACAACACCTCCTTAAGACTTTCTGGCTCCCCCTCATCACTGATAAAGACATACTATGTGTAAGGGTACCTACATGACTCTACCCCTAGTCTCTCTGATCTACGCAAAGGTTGAGGTTGTCCTTCTTCCTGAGTAGGGTACTCCACTTGCTCGACATCATCATCAAGTTGCTCCCCCTGCTCAATAACCTCACCAGGTTGCTCCCCCTGCTCGTCAACCTCGTTGGTTGTACTTTCTGCACTTGTGGGATAGTTCGAAGTAGAAAGAATAGTAACAAGGTTAGGTATTATACCATTCTTTGCCTTCTCTGACTTGGTCATCTGCAGTTCCAACTTCACTTTCTTGGAAAACTACATCTCTGCTTCTGATGACCTTCTTCTTTATAAGATCCCATAATCTGTACCTGTACTCTTCATCTCCATATCCGATGAATATGCAGGGAATATATTTTCATCCAACTTTGTTCTCCGCTCCTTTGGTACATGTGTAAAAGCTCTGCAACCGAACACCTTCAAATATGAGTAAGATACCTCCTTTTCGATCCAAACTCTCTCTGGGATGTCAAACTCCAATGGAACTGATGGACACCTATTGATCAGGTAATAGACTGTCTGAACTACTTCACCCCATAATGACTTAGGTAGTTTATGTCACGACTCAAACCGATGGGCCGCGACGGGTGCCCGAGTCCTACCTGTCAAACATCATTAAGAATGCATCTTAGATGTAAACCTGAATAACATCTGCTGAATTACGAGAATAATGCACATGAAGGAAATCTACACAAAAAGGCATACATACATATACGTACAACATACAGACAACTATATAACTCAGAACTGGAAGCCGGCAAGGCCACATACTATCCAACTAGACATACTGTCTATAGACCTCTAATAGAAATATAACTGTACAAAGAGGGGACTGAGCCACGTCATACCTATATATATATAGATATATCGTACCAAAATCAAAAGCAACTTCGGATCAAGTGGAGCATGCCAACTCTCGCTAATCAAGGATCCTAATAAGGGGGACCGTCAGCTTGCCTACCTACACCTACGGGCATAGAACGCAGGACTCATGAAAAAATGTACTGATTATGTAAGACATGGAAATCAATACGTAAATGACATAGATGAAATATGGAATAAAGAAATCCATCTATAAATCTGAATAACTTTGTAAATTCTGAAACATTTATAATGTTATGCACATGCGTACAAATGTCGTGTCATGCATAGGTATGGGTGTATATAATATCATCAAGCCACTAAGGGTATTGTATCATATCATCTCGGCCACTGTAGGCAACATCATCAACATATACTAACTAATCAGGTGGTGGTGCGTATATAACGCCGTAACCTTTTTCCCATATCCCATATACATAAATATATACATATAAATACGCGTATATAACGCCGTCTGGTCATGGGTCAATGTATATGCATAAATGAATAAAATGCATGGAAATATGTTAAAAATCTCAATATTCTTTTCGGATAAACTTTATCAACTACATATCATTTTAAGACCCATGAACAGAGGATATAATAATATGTCACATGGGGAATCAAGAACATAGAGACGCCTAGTACTTCTATGAATAGAGTCGTTTATGAAAACTGTGTATTTGCTCATTTCTTCTGTATAATTGGACCATGCCAAAAAGAAGGAAGAGGTAGCCTTAACATACCCGGAGTAGGGAAAACTCCGTATATTACTCTTGGCGAAGATTGCACTGTACTCTTAGAACCACAAAATTTTACGTTGCCACGATTCTAACTACGCGTGGTCTTCTCATTACAGCACGCTCTTTTATCAAATTGTCTTGTGCATTATTCCAGATGATGTTTTGTGTAGTTGGTAGGGAACGAGAGTGGAGGGTGTGTCTTAATCTAGGCTTGATACATTTCCGCCATCTGATGCTTCAACCTCCGGACCTCCTCTTGCA